TAATCAATTCCCGGAGAACACAGTACTAAGCTTTCTTTTTTTTTTAAATTCCATCGACCGCTTCCAAAAGGCTGATGAGCGCCTAATTCAGTGGGTCAGCTGTTCTTTCGATGGCAAAAAGAAGAAGTAAAGGCTGAAATTATAAATAAATGGTTAATTAACGTAAAATTCCTTACAACCCCTTGGGTAGCGATTTAACATACTTTACTGCACATTCTTTATATGCTTAATGCAAGCACAGTAATTGTAATATATAGAAAGACATGAAAAAACGTGTATTATTGTTATTAAATGTATCTATGTACTTTTTTTACTTTCCTTTACACTTTTTTTTCAGTCATGTACCTTTTTCCCGAAAATTGGATTATCAGAATTAATTTTTTAAGGGTATTTTAGACACTTATTTTTGTTAAGGGTATTATTTTTAAGGTTATGTTAAGGGTAAAGTTTTCTTTAATATTATAATCAAGAAACAGTACCTATGCAGCATTTTAAAACTCCGAGTTCGTTTTTCATGGATATGATGAAACAGAGAATAGGAAATATGTAGAGGACGAAACGAATTGGCTGGAAACGATAGCATGAGATTTTTGTTGGTAGCTTTATTAATCAGAATTTCTTTTTAATTTAAAAAAAATCAACATAGAGGAAAAATAAACATGCTTTTATAAGTTACATTATTTATTTTTCATTACAATATTTACAAAGTGATTATGACAGATTGAAAAACAGTTATTATTATACTCATCATAAACTTATACTTAAAAGTAATTACTGCCCAAAAGACTCACTATAGCGTTTAGAGGGTGGAGGAAATTTCCGAAATGAAGAAAGAAGTTCAGAAAGAAATGCCAAATATGTAAACAATGACATGTAAGAATGAAAACAATTGCAAATTGTTAAGTAGCCTCTAAAGTTTTACTGCTTCTAATTATAAATGTTCTATGTTCCTTCACCTCTCGTGGAGGCTCTACCAACTATTGATTTTGAATAAAGTTAGTTTTTCTTTTCTATCATAGGTGTCTAAATACTTATGGGTAGTCAGTGTATATTTGGATGCCTAACATGTACCATAATAGTGAAAAGTGTTGTTAGACAGTGTCAAGACAGTTGCAAAATTCATCCTAAATCCATTTCGAAGTGTCTTCTTCAATAGAAATCATTGCAACTGTGATCTCTTTTTAAGCTTATCAAAGTCAACAATTAATAGCGGAACAAAAGCGTTCTCTCATATATAATTCCAGAATTAGATCTTATACGTTGTAATGCCTACAGGTCTTAGGAACCAAGAGGATAAATAGTGCTAAGCCTTTGGGCCCCGTTCATCTTATTTAAGATGAGGCAATATTTCATTTATAAATTAAATGTCGTCTGCACGAGGCGATAAAGTTGCTCAGAAACTCAATAATACTTCCCTTCATTGGAAAGTCTAAATCTTCCCCGGCCTGTCAAATACTTCAATTTTACTTATTGGTGGTGCGTCGTCGCACACAAATAAGATTTAAAAATTGAGCCCTTATTTTTTAAAAAATGTCATATATATTAGTTCTATTCTTTCTACAGTTACCTGATTAATCACAAAAGAATACATGAGTTGAATGGAATGGGGAAAAGATGACAGATTTACAGGATAATTACTGTAAAGATGTCGGACTTCTTTACCTTTGTAATGGTAACTAATTTAACAATACTTCTTTGTTAATGTGATCACACCTTTAGTTTGGCAGAACTTAATTGACCAATCTATAACGAATAAATTTCAGATGTCCCAAGTAGCTTAAGCGGTGGTCACTTTAATAAGGAAGTACGAATTTAACTTGCATTAATGAGAGTTAATGCTTCTTAAAACGATGACGGATACTTCTTCCTGAATTATTTATTGTTCGGGAATTTATCGGCTAATATGTAGCTGAACTCTGGATAGTGTAGATTTAAACTATGAAATATGTTACATGAGATTTTTTCTTTAATGAATATCTTAAAAAATTTGGAAATACGGGATGGTTCGCAAATGATTCCTACGGCATTGAAAATATTGAAATTTTGAAAACTCTAGTTATCGCATAAATGTAAAAATATATACAGAATACTAAATTTTTCATTTACTATTAAAACACATAGAAATGTATCACACAAAATTGCATTAGCCAGAGCAAATAATATCAAGAATATCATATAAAAATGAAGTGTTGCAAGTACAGTCAAGAAACGAATTTACGTTGTAAACAGATGATATATCTTTGGCATCGGTAAAATGTAAACATATTTTTCTATCCCTTATGATTCTCTCACTAACATTTTCTTTTATTCAGCGTACTTTATTGTATTGGTGTATTATCCAATACACATAATTTTCCAAAAATGTGTAAATCGACTGCTGATATTCTTAGTATAAGTTTTTTTTTTATCAATGACAGTTTGCAAATGCTCAAGTTCGAGAGGGGACAAACTGCTCAGTGCCAAGTTTCGGTAATATATGTAGAGTTTCTGTGCACTCGTTCACCATTCTATTCTCGGGTCATCTGCATTTAAAAATCTTGATATTCGTGTACAGTCCGCTCACTGATGGTAAACCAGTAGTTAAAAGCATACCAGGAAAGGCCGATTTCAATTTCAGGGGACAAAGTTCTTGAAAATTTCTTCTTCTATTTTCTGGAAAGGTTTTGACTCCATGCGGTAGTTAAAAACTTGACTACAGAAAGATCTTACCTAAATATGAAATAAACCGATGCATCTTAGCAAAATAAGCTACCGTTTTTTCCTTTCAAGTGGATTGAGGTTTTTCACTCACGCACCGGATCATCGCGGAGATCAGCTTAACGTGCGTACGCAGTAAATTATTTGAAATAACATAAAACATACGAATAAAGGAATGTTATAAACTACTGATAAACCGATAACAATTTAAGTGTAATTTGTTTATACGAACTTTTCTTGATCGAGTGTAGAAATTATGCGATCCTTGAGCGTTATAAAGACCATTTTCTATGACAGCAACCAGTGCAATAAGTCCCCAGTTGATGAAATAATGTTAAACCAATTATCGTTCTCGCGACGACTGTTTATAACGTATTTTTTCTGGAAGAGGTAAGAAGTCGTTGTAACGAGCGTAAATTGTACTTCTTCTTTGAGAGACTAGTATGGCTGGTGTAATTAAATTAAGGACTTTTAGGTATGACTGAGCCACGTACTTCAGATCTCTACTTTCTCTCTCCTTTGTTAAGTGAATCCTTTGCTTTTACACATATTCTTAGAAAGGAAAAATTGGCTTGTATTTTTCTTTTCTTCTAGTGTGCTTTGGTGTAAAGGTTGGCACACTTAACGCGTATTTGAGAGGTCCAGGTTCGAGTCTCGGCGAAGGCGCTGCATATGTTTCACGTCTACCGCTTCTCAAAAACATCTAATGACACTACAGTGGCGCCCGAACTAAAGAGGTGGTGGCTGATGATTCTTTACCACCAAGATTTGGCGATTGGTTCCCTAATCCCCAGTCGCCCTTTAAAAGGTGAGTATATAATATAAGGTATTTTCTCTCTCCTTCAGGCATGCCTTTAGGTGTAACGGTTGGCACGTATTTGAGAGGTCCAGATTCGGACCTCTCAAATCCAGATTCCCAGATTCGGACCAGATTCAGTCCCGGCGAGAGCATTGCACATTCATGTCTCTTCCTTCCTTAAAAAAATAGCTGGAATTTACATGTCCCTCTGGAGTGATTTCAAATTTCATTCGCGAAACATTTTGGAATTATATTTCTGGATCTTGCTAAAGAATTCGTATTTCCTTTGATATACATTCTCTCTCTTAACTTCTTTTCTTTAAGCGATTTTACGCACTTTTTTCCCGGAGATTTCTTTCTTTCTGATATTCTTCTGTTGACAAAATTACTCTTTAGACTGAACTTAGAAGCTAAATTATAAAACCTTTCACAGGAAACTAGGATACTAACCTAGATAATAAATAATGATAACTTAATCTCTTTTACTTATTCATTAAATTTTCTTAAACACATAGATTAAAATACACATGTTTGTACGTAAATTCATATTTTTATGTAAATACAAAATCTCCCTATAAATACAAAAACCTGCCTATCCGTGCACTGGAGAAAAATTACAAGAAATATCTTCATCACGAATTGTGAATGTTTATCAGCAAATCAGATACCTTTTTTTATTACGTTAGCTTTTTACATGAAAATGTGTTCCCAAACAAAGCGATTATTGTTAACGCAAAATTCATAACCGAGCGTCCTTATTTTTTGAAAAGTGCGAATAAAAATTAATCAATCTCTATCTTCAAGTCTTTGAATAAAATTTATATCCCAATGTGAATTAGCTAATTTATGGATTTTATGGTGCGTTATTCGGGTTAGTTTTTAATGGCTATGAAATGATGTAAACTAAACTTCAAATGATTGAAATGTTGAAATCTTTGCAACGTCATATTTGCAAGAAAAACGTCAATAAAATGTATTCGCGGTACGGATAAAATTGCTTGCGGGGTCGCTAGTCTGAGACCACTGATATACGAGCCTAATTAAATTTGTTATTAACGTGTAAAAATGTAAGCATTTATTTATGATTTTTTATTCAGTAACAATACTTTCTATTCCATTCTCTAGCCATTCCTTAAATATTCACAATGTTTCAGCATTACAATTTTTATATTACAAATATGAGCAGCAACCTCAAATTTCAAGTTTTTGTAAAGTAATATATATCTTTGATGGCTTTTAAGTATACGTAAACTGAAAACAGAGTATTTGTATCAGAAATATTATTATCAAAAGTAAGAAGCTTCTAAGAAATGTAAAAGTAGTACAGATAACAAAATTCAAACTTTGATTTCGTAAAAGAAAAATCAAAGTGACTGACAGATTTCTCAATATGTCATTGTTCTCTGAAATGTGGCATAAAATTAGTTTCAAAGGTGCAACAGGAGATAAGTTTATCGAAATTTTTACGCAGATTGTTTTTCGTTTACCATCAGTGACGTTTATGGGAACCTTGATAGATTTTATAAATACCACAAAATTAAAGTGAAGATTTCGATTTTTCGGATACCTGGCCACATGAAAAAATGCTGAAAACTCTGTTCGCAGTCTTGACCCTTGGGCTGATTGTTTTGTCGAGTGCTAAGCATGTCGACTACTCTGGGTAAGCAAGTTTAACATTGCAGAGTCCTATTCATATATTTATTCTTAAATGCGTTCATTCTGAATTTTTCTAAATGCTCTGTCTTAACCTGACTTGCGAACGACAAAGACTGATCCATATATTTAATTTGAAAATTTGCCATGTTCATTACCGTTTTCGGCTTGCTTTGCGTGGTCGGTTAAATGATAAGGCAGAACAATTCGAGGCTGATTTGATCTTTTCTCTGTATATGTCAATCAGTAATATTTTTTCGTGATTTATCGATGTGTAACGTTCTTTAATTTAAAATTTTGTTACATTTTGTAGACGATAGCATTTCCATACAATTCGTTTAGAAATGTTCGAACGCTAAAAACACGCTATTAACATTATCATGTAATTTTAAAAATTTAGAATCGTATTTGAATAACAAAATAAAAAATTAATTGAATTCACTACAGCGAGTTAACTGTACAGCAGTAGTGAATGCTGTACTGCAGGAACACGAATTCTAGAAGATTATAAGAATGTAAGATCTGCTTTTCAAAAACAATTATATTGATCAATACTTTTCAAGATCTTGCGCATAGCAATGCTTGCCATTTAATCTATTTATAAGGATGTTACTCTTTCCTCATTGCATCTTATCGAGGAATAAGGGGTAGCATATCCAGTTAGCAATGAAGGCTTTGAGTTCGAATCCCTGCGAGGTATGGCTAATTTTTTGTGATTCCTGCTTTAAAAAAAAGCTAATAGATTCAACTTTTTAGTATCAAAAACCTGTTATAAAGTAATATTTTATTTTTATTTTACAAATTAAAGTTTTTTGCTGTTTAATTCGGTGACGACTCCTAAATATCATTGTAAAATTTAAATATTTCGGCCACATTCAAGTTTCAGATTTTAAAGAAAATATCCATTTTGACCGTTTTTGATCAGTTTTAACTATTATTTTGCGTGACATCTCTGTACTTACAGATACAATAAAAGACTCTTTATTTCAAAACGGACTGTAAAGTGCGTTCAGAAGGGATATTTTCTAACCTCTGTACGTACGAATGTATCTCGCATAACTCAAACACGATTAGCCGTAGAATGTTGAAATTTTGTATATGGGAAATCTATATAACATGTATTTATGCACCTCCGGTTTTAACTGTAATCGGCAGTGCCAAAAGTATATGTTTGTGTGTGTATATATACGTATATATACACAAACACACACACACACACACACACACACACATATATATATATATATATATATATATATATATAATATTATCCCAAAATGGAAAGTAGGGCAATTAGAATCCTGCGTCTTGGCTGCATAGATATAATTTATAAAAAATTGAATGAAGTTAAAAATATGTATTATAACTATTGCAAGTGCATATGTGCATATTAAGTAAAACGTTAAGTATTTCAATGTGAAGTCCAAAGTTAAACCTGATAAACAATGCAATTTATGCACGAACTGCAATAAAGGTCAATACATAATAAATTTAATAAAATTATAATTTTTTTATAATTAGAAAAATAAATAGAAAAATGAAAATAAGTGAATTTAAGAGATAATAAAGATGTTAGGTAAAGGAAATCTCCTGCATGTCAAGCTAAAACAAATTTAAAATTTTAGAGTAAAAAGTTTAATTAGTTTTAGAAAAATGCACATCTGAAAAATCAGTGAGATAATGCCAACTCATCAGGGGGAAAAATTAAATTATCTCACTTTCCCTTCCATTGTTCAGACGATATGTTTCGTCTTTCCTATGCATACGTTAATCCAAAATTCTCAAAACCTTTTCATGCTAACAGTTCTTTCAAAATTTATTAAATCCATGTGCATACTAAGAATTCCCTCACAGATGCGTCGCCTACTATTCAGTTAAATTCATTAAATAAAAATTCGCGAGAAATAATCACGCAAGTATCAAATAATTAATACAAGATTTAAAAATAATTAAAAAATTATCAAAATGAACATTTAAGAAATAATTAAGAAGAAAACTGGAAGAAAAAGAGTCTTTTATTCTGTCCATACGTACAAATGTCATGCAAAAACATCGTTCAAATGGATTTGAGAGCGGTCAAAATGGATATTTTCGTTGAAATATGCTACCCGAAATTTTTTGCGATTACAATACTTCCTTTGCTTCGAACAAGGAAGTAAAAAAGAAGGAAATAATATTCTGCGCAAGTATTACTCTCATGTCTCCTGCTTCAAAATAACCTAATGACTCTACATGTTTAAAATCTTAACGATAGATGTTTCCATCAAAGAAGGAAAAAAATTGCGTTTTTTTTTGCATTTGTAACCTCATTTTAAGAGAGGTGGAATTTTTCAAAAGTCTAAGTCTTTTGAAAGTTTTTTTTTTCAAAGCCTTTGAAAGATCTCCGAGACACTTGAATACAAATGTATTCTTCATGATCTATACGTTGTCAAAGATTTGTAAAACGTTAAGCTAAAGTAGCACTTAAACTTCATTGAAAATTATTTTTATTATGAATTTCTCTGTATAAAATTCTATTTTAAATCATTAAGGTTCTCAACACTGGATAAACACTATGGGTTTATATTCTTCATCTTAAGATAGGTTAAGTCCTCTTTAAAGTCCTCTTTCTACAGCACAATTATTAGTATGCATAGAAATGAACTCTGAGCGGAACTAAGAGGACAAATAGTCAAATCTACTTTTATTTGTATTTATAGAATTATCCGTTCAGTTACGTACTTAATATCTTTTATTAAACATCTTTTATAAATGAGTCTCTCAGTTTGAAGTGGTAAGGTGTCCCTTAAACTTCCTCGCTTTCAACTATGACCGTAGGAATAAGTCGAAAGTATAGAAGTTCAAATACTTAATGCTTTCAATAAGATATTTCCCATTTTAAGCGAAATTTAAACATTTTGACTAGCATGTAGCATGTTAACAGCCTTAAAGGTTTATTTAAGCCCATTGTAAATTCCAGCACTGATAAATTTTGTGGGAATATAAAATTTATTTATCTTTAAACAGATGATGAGGTATACATTACCAACAATAATAACAAATTTCTTATAAATAATGGTAATTTTAAAAGTTCGTTAAACATTTATTGAATTGCAAAGTTGTTTTCTTTACGAGAAAAATCAAAGACAAATTTAACAATGTGATGAAAAATCAAAATCACTTAGTAAACGGTTGCACATCATATACGTCCGTACGCTTATAGTTGCACAGGAAAGTAAATGTATACAACAGTCATGCATAGTTCGTAAGGCTAATCGGTGCAAGAGAGTCCAAAACAGAGTTTGCAATACCGAACAAAAATATAAGTTAATAGATGATATGTTTTCCTCTGGCAGTCATACTGCTCTCAGAACGTGACTTTATATTGGAAATGGTTTGCAAGTTCCTGTCAAAATCGATCCTTTCCCACAGTAGCAGTGTTTTCAGATCTTGAATTGTTGTGGAAGGGGAAAGGTAAGTTTTAATTGCCATTATAAAAGCGTCCCAGACATTTTCTCTAAGGTTTCGCCTGAAGATCCGGATGGCTAATCCTTCTGTTATTACGCTCCCTTTCCGAAAAATCCTCCATCAGATCAGCTCTGTGTCAACGAGCGTTGTTCATAAAACTACATGAGAGCGAACTGCACCTATGAAAATTCCTTAAGATTTCCCCTGTTTGAAAGAAGACCTTGTTGTTTACTTCCTGCTCACTTTTGTGCTCGTTCAACATGGTGCAGAGATCACTGAATTTAAACCAAGCATCAGTAGGCCACCGTTCGTTTCACAGATGAATCCCGATTCACCCTGAACCTCTGAATTTCAACGTACCTGTACAGAACTACAGTCCTGTTATCCGTTCTCCAACAGCTGAAAAATTAATCATTAACACAGCTGATATTTGATGCTTTTGGAGAGGTGCACAAGCCGTTTATGTCTTTGTCAGATGCTGGAAGATTCCGGCGTGGACAATTTAAAGCCTTCTCAAGGGTCAATTGGCTCTCAGTTTATGTTTATTGAAGACAACGCTAGTTAACTTAGGGCTATTCTGGTGGATGATTTTATGGATAGTGATGATATGAAGCAGATAGTTTGGTCCTATAAGAAAGTCCTGTGGCGTTTTTAAACGGGCAACTGCAAGGCTTTTTCTCCCTACTAGCTCTGAAGATAATTGACCAAATCGGAAAAATTTTTCTTAATTTGAACACCGAGGTATGAAGGGAAGTTTCACCATAATATCTGTTTTTTTAGAAGCAAGAAAGAATAGATTTAACGTACATGCATTTTTTTTAAATGAGGGGAGTTATTCATTGTGAGATGATGAGAGAGTAGGCGGAATGCCTTCCTTCAGAAGGAGTTTGAGAGTGCCCCTTAAAGGTAAATGGGAAATGACTGATTGAAAGTTCAGTATGGGAAGCGAGTGAAACAACAAGTGCATACCTTAGTTATGTTAATGCAACAGTTCCTTTTGTGAGACGAGATAGTCTAATAAACGCAAGTAGTTTTCTATACGTTGAAAAATAATTCAGTCAGTTGAGTACAGAACTCTCATATAGAATTTCGATGTTATCAAGCAGTTAATAATCTGTGAATGTATTAAAAGTTTTTTTGAGTATTGCATTGCTAAAAATACACCTTGCAGCTTATATTCATTACAAATACAGATAAAAAATATCCAGCATGAAAGTAAGAAGCAGCAGAAGCTGTGATTTTTACGAGCTTTTTCATGCACTTTAAAGCATTTATTAAGTCTAATAAATCTTACATTCTGCAAGTATAAATTATTCCCATGTTAGCTGAAACTGCATTACAAGACATAAAAGAAGGCAGAAATAACGGTTTGTTAAGATCTAGGTATGTATAAGTAACTGCGGTTTCAAAAGGTGGCTAAGCCTTCAAAGACTGATAACAAGATTCAAGTATGGAGATGATTGTACTGGTAATAAAAATACAGTAATTATTTTCCCTATGGCGCAAGTGTTAAAATAGATTGGTTTGATTTGATCAATTATGGTAAAATAACTCAAAGCTATCTGCCTAAGAGGGGATGCCTATGTGAAGGCCTTTTTAAAGAAATGGGCTTTCATACACGTTACACATGGGGAAAACCACGAAAACTTCCATGCAGCCCGTCCATTTCCTGGGATTCGAACCTTGGACAGATCTACCAGTATTCAGCGACTTAACCGCTCGACTTCTGATGGGCAGTTGAAACATAAAAATAAGGAAAAGTTTAACTAAGAACTGAACATATTTAATCTAATAATATTGACAGTTTTAACAAGAAACTGAAGACTTATCTTCACTGAAAGTTTATTTAAAAATGGTTTATAATTTAATACAGAGAAACAAAACTAATTTAATCAATCCTAGGAACACCCGAGGGGAATTCAAAACAGTGGTAAATGTATATTTTGAGTAAATTAAATTCTTTCGACAAAATGTGATTATTTTAATTTTCTGAAATTTAAATTGATATTAGGATATTTTCATTTTTTATTCTAATTTGAATAAGTAAATAAAATTTACTCTTAAAGTATCCTTCATAAGATGCTTCAGTGATAACAGCAATAGTTCAACTGATTTTAAAATTAAAATTTAATTTATTAAAACTTGATCAAGAGTTTGTTTCTGTTATATTGTTTTCTCTGTACTGGTAGACACTTTCTTCTCAGGGCTCATTTTGGCATAAAAACAAACACAAATGAGACATGTTCTTTTTAGCAAAGAAATACTTACAGCCAATATCCCAGGGAATGTCTGAAGTACTTTGTCGACTTTTAGAACTCCTATTTCAGCATCCACTAGCGCTTATTAAACACAGCTATGTGTTCTTATATACCTCTTCTTCCTGAATAAATAGGGAAAGAGAAAATATCCGAAAATAAAAGTTTTCTGTTGTCCAGATTAGTGTGACTTCAGTAGCAAGCAGAAACTAATATTGGTTAGAAGCATTAACTATCATATTTCTTACTATTCGGCGGGTTATTATTAAAGACATAGCTAAAAAGGCTTAGAAAATTATAATATATGTATAAACATTTCCTCAAAATGAACATTTCAGTATTATTGTTATCATTTTGATATTATTTCCGATGTTGAAGTAGGCAGACTTTACAAATTTTGTTTTTAAATATTTAGATAGATTCAAATATTATAGTAAAATAATTATATTTCAATAATAATAATATTTTAAATATTAGATATGTGAAACATATTTGAAATAAAATGCGGAACATATCTGATAACTTGAAATGAAGGCCCAGCTATAGCGCGGAATGAGGGCGCAAATATAGAAGCATACTATAAAAATACATGAAGTCACCATAATACATTCTTGTTGCAGAGCGAAGAAGTAGCCGAATTTAATCATTTCTAATTAATTCAGTTCACAAGACAACTCAGCATAAATAAATAGGTCACAAAATACTGGCCAATTTTAAGAACTTTTCATATTTTGGAATATAACAAACAAAAAGAAGACTAGTTAAGTGGACAGAAAGCAAGTGCTACGTGTTCAAGACTACTCTTTATTCAGAATGAATTAGTTTCAATTTTGATGTTATTTAATTGGCTAATTAATAATGTTCTAAAATTATTACCGGCTAACTGAATTTCAGTTCATAAATTGTCACCAGCGTCATGTAAGAGTAATATGACATAGATTAATCTGGAAATCACACAGCATAAAATTATATAAATTAAATTTGCCATAACGTTTCACTTTAATCTGAATATTTCCCGTTTCTGTTACAAAAATTGTAACTGATTATATTAAACCTCTTTCCATTGAGCTATTTCCTGATTAATCCCTATATGACTTTTGCAATCGCTTCATCAATATCGATGTAACGATCTCAATCTAGCTATACATTTCCGTACTTGGGTTTGGCAACCATTTGCTTGCTCCATTCGGAACCAAGATTCCATTCAACCATGATAGCAGGCCAATACCTTTTTTCGATTTCCTTTATCTTTCCTAACTTTTTTAAATAAATTTGTTTTAAATATGAATTTCTTTAACTTCTTGTATTTGTGTATGACTTCTTTACACCTTGTTCAGTTTCTTTTATAATTAATAATTCATTTTCTTATTAAGTTAATAGCACATTCCTAAAATCTTAATATATGAACAAATATTATAAAGATGATATAAAAGTAGTTAGTATCTTTTGAAACACTGAAAATGCTTCACACTAAGAAAATTACTTCATAGCACGCTCTTACTGTAACTGAAAGGAAAATTATTTAAAAGAAATAAGAAGCTGTTAGTTAGAAGAAAACTTTTCAAACAACTTATCTTCATTTTTATAAGTTTTATTATGCTAGTTAGAACCTGACAGAAGTTCTCATTTGCACAAAATGCAAAAGCCTTCTTGCTGGCCTGGTAACAGAAGAGCCACCTGCCGTAGCTTAGAGCTCCAATTCAGATCCTGAGGAAGACTTATTTGTGTATAGGCGCGTCTGCAATATGATGCACTTAAAATATTGTCGAAAGTTCCGTCGAGAGATATCGGGATAGGAGAAGAGGGACGTCTTAATATCGATGCCCATCTTAGGAGTGCTGCCTACACCTTTAAGCAAGTAGTCCGCTGTTCTAAAAGACAGAAATTTTCGTAAGGTTGGCAAGGGAAGCTAACAAATTGATAATCGGTGGTCTTCAGATCTATGGATCCGTCCTCCCTGAGGTTCTCCATTTAAAATCGCAAATATTAATGATCGTTAAAGAGTAAAAATAAGAATAATTCTTAATACGAACCTGAAACTGCAAGATACCTAATAATTAAAAAGTAAACTAGAAAATTAATTATTTTTGAGTTACCAGTAAAAATAATTTACATTAAATAATAATCACTCGCAATCAGTGCTAATTATCCACATAACCCATATTTGTACTCTGTATTAAGTATTTTACATCAGTATAAAGTACTGCATTTTGATTGGCTGTTTGTATCAGCATTATGATACTCAGTAGATAATTTTTTTTTTATTAGCCGAAAGGAACGCTAGCTCAGAAGGGCTATTAATTTCGTTTTGGCAATTTGCGTCGATTCACTGTAAATGTCCGTATCACTTTTTAAACTGTTGCCACCAAATATTATCGCCCTGTATTATATTTAAAAAATAAATAATGAAGAATCTGCATAAATGTGTGTATGTTTCTCGACGACAGTATAAAATGACGGTACCTACAGCCATCCAATTTTGAATAACGTATTTGAATAACAATTTTGAATAACGAATCATCCTCCTCCGAATATTACATTTGGAAGCCCAAATTTGGAATTTGGAAGTTGATTTATTATCCATTTCATATTTTGTAACGCTTTAACGATTTTTTTTACTAACAAATCAACAATTTCAAAGCGAGCAAGGGCAACACTTGCACGGAAAAAAACATTTTTATCTCCAGCGCGTGAGACTGTGTATCAGAAATTATAAAGATATGCTTATTTAAAAATTATTTTGCGATATTGCTGTTGAACTGAATTTTATGGCTTAAGTACGAAGAACATGATATTCAAGAAATAAAAGTAACTCACAAAACGCTAAAAAAAACGCCCCTTTGGGTGTAATGTAAAATCTGAAAGCTTTCATATTTTTATTTATTTATTATTATTATTATTTTTTGTTGTTTAATTTTTAGTTTTAGCTTACTTATTTTTCGTTCAATTTTTCTCTAAGTATGTCAGTACCATCACCATGTACTAACATTGTAGTATGGCGTTGATTGATTCTATCACATCATAGTAGCTGTTCACTGTATATCAGCAAGTAAAGTATATATCTAACTGTCATTTACCTTCGGTATCATAATGTATAGTTCTGCTTATGATTACCGATATCCTCCTCATTCTTATTTTTTACTTTTACGCATTATATAGATGCTTGTTTTCTTCACATTCCAGTTAAATTTCCTGATTCAAACTATATTGTTCATTGTTCTATTTATTTTATTTTATTCTGCTCCATTTTATTTTGTTTCCGTTGTACAGTCAATATTATTTGTTAAGTTTTTTTGCACCTTAGCACAATACGATGTCTTGACCTAAGCACATCTACTTACGGTATAACATTAGTTACTGGTCAGTCCTTGCGCACCTTTAATACCTGTCTGAGTTATCCCCTTGGTTGAGGTATAAGAGTCGGAGGATTGCACTGCTATTGCAGTGAGGTACGTTGGCTGTCAGCTCAGACGTTGATAAAGGTGCTCCGTTAGCGGACTAAAAGAGCTGGTTTTCCTCAAAATGGGAAAAAAACTTCCTTTGTCTCTTAGCTGCCATTCGATTTCTCTTTTTGATGCACCCTGAACAAAGTTTTCAGTGATGAGATAGTTAAATGATCGATGGATCTCGGCTATTCACGATGAACGCATTAATTTGCGAATGTCCGATGATTTGAAACAGCAGCAAAAATATAAAGTAAAATGTGCACTTTTTAAAAAAAAATATGCATATACTATTAAAAAAACTTTTATGCAAAATATTCAGTTAAGCATGAATACTATGCTTAGAAAAAGGAGTAAATGTTCTTATTGTTTAACATTATATTTTATTTTTCCTCTAAGGCACAAAGTCATCAGAGTAACACCTAGATCGGAGGAGGATTTGGTGTTCCTGCACAAACTCCGCAGTGATTATGGGGTAAGTTTCCATGGCAGTTTTTATTCTTAATTCATTTGAGTTGCTCGATTATATATTAACATATTAAGGCAGTTACTGGTTTGCTTTCCATTTAACATGCAAGTAAAACGTCTCTTAACGAATTAATCTTAAGCAAAATTAGACTTTTACACTATTTCCTTGCTTAGAGGCAAGTATATATATTTTTACTTCCTTGTACGAAGTAAATGATGTATTTTAATCCAAAAAAATTTCGGTTATCAGTTTTCAGCGCAAATATTCATTTTGACCGTTCCTTAATCCATTTGGGGTATTTTTTCCCTTGCGTAACGTCTGGACAGAATAAAGTTTTTTTTTCAAAACAGTTTATTTCGATATAGTTTCAAAATGTTCTGTACGTATTTACGTATACATCTCGCATAACTCAAAAAACGATTAGCCGCAGAATACTGAAATATTTTGGCGGTATTATAAAAGTGGGACTGTTAACATCTACTCATCCCTCTTACCCGGCATTTATTTTCGCGTCGTTGGTCGCGTATACTTCTAATTACAGAAGTGTTTCGAATGATGAAAATATTTATATTTTGGCGATGTTAAAATAAAAAATTTTGGACAATTAACGAAATCTGACTTTAATGTAGTCTCCCGGTTTCTATACATATATTTGTAAAAGTTTTATATTCATTATGAAAAATCATTAATATAAAAAGTTTGATTCCTGTACGACAAAAATTGGCCTGGATGTTTAATTTAAAAAATTTGCAGTTTTTGATGTCATTTTCAACTTGACTTGGGGAATCAGTTAATTAAGTTAGAATAATTCGAGGAAATACGTTTAAATGAAGTGCAGCAAAAACTGTGTATAATTTAATAGAAATCATGTGGTGTCTACATTTTTCCTTTTTAATGTTTTATTCAACAAGTGATCTCTGTGCATAATGTACAGAAATACTGGGCTATGAAATCATTCTGTAGAAAATATCTTACAAGTTTCTTTGAATAAGGAAATCTCATAGAGAAACTATGAAATCTGCATCTTATAAAAATTCAATAATACGTTTTCAGGTAAATAAGCGAGAATTAGGGATCTCACAATACGTTCTGACTATTTTTACTATGATGTCTGTCGGTCTGTGACAATTTTATCTTCCACGATTACTCGTATAACAAACTTACAAAAATTCCCATTTTCCATACTTTCGCTTTCTGTATTGGTATAAATAGTTGATAAGAATTTGAGTAAAATTGAACAAACGAAATTGTACTTTACTTGAAACCTAAAAGAGTTTTTAATGAAAAACTATATTGAAATATAATCTAAAACTTTTCACTTTTAGTAGTTGATACTTTTATGTTAATGGGAGTAACACGTTAGATTTGGGTTAAAATTGGCATTGTGTAACGGTGGTAAAGGCGCGTATTCGAGAGGTTTAAGTTCGAGTCCTGGCGAGGGCATTTTTCACTTCTCCCTCACCCCCCCCCGAAAAAAAGCCCTATGGCTCTACAGGCCTAGACAAAACGCGAACACAGTAATTAATAGATGGATGTGTTTGCAAAGCTGTCAAAATTTTAACACTAAAGAAGAGTACACGATTTTGCTCAAGAGATCACAGAAATAATTTCATTAATAGAGAAAGCAACGGTATTCATAACATATCTAGTGACAGCCGTGATATACAAGCGTATGCACTATTTATTGCCAGAGGGTAAAAAAGGAATAAAATTTTGTTATGTGTAAAGAAAAGTTTTCTTTGTTTCCGAAGAATAAGTTTAATTCCAAATGCAAATTGAATGGTACTTTTCCGTTTTGCCGGGGCAGGCGATTGGCGGAAAAGTACCAATTGAATTTATTACATGTGTATTTGATTGAAATAACGTAAAAAGAATACTTTCAGGATGCGTCTTAAAATTATCTTTGCTGATTTGTTTTGGACCTTTAATCAATCTTTCTTTCATAGGCACAATTGTTTTAAACTTATTATTCACGAATGTATCTATCATGTAAAAACAGAATTAGTTGTATATCTTTTTACAGAAAATTGTTTGGCATGTATTATCCTATCACAGAAAAGATCAAAGTTTAGTATAGTAATTGAAATAGCTGGAGAACCTCATGCGAAGAATTTCGGTAGATTCTTATGGGTGTCCAAACAATCTGTCATTTCGCATTTCCATCCCGTGGCCCTATTCTTCCTCGTGTATCATTCCATACCTCTTGGAATTTGTCTTTGTAAAGTAAATGTTAAATTACACTTAACGGAAAGTCATTAGCAAGACCTTCACTATCAAAAGTTAAGTGATAATGTAATATTTACTGAACTCAAGGCCAACTGTATCAATTTTTGATTAAAAAAAATATTTTCTTCTGTTGATAACTATAACTACAACAAGTGTTTTGGGGAAGGTTTTTTCTCATAATCCCGGTAAATTTTTTAACAGATAATTTTCACTTCTCCGAGATTGAAAAATTATCTTATCACACAAAAGAAAGCATATTCTGAGTTCGCGAAAACTGCCTAGTTGTTATGGAGATATAATGTTTTATTTACGCAAATTCTTAAATACGGTTTTTAAATGTTTTTCAGTAATTTTAATATTTTTGATATGAAGCCTTTAGCAAAAATGTTAACGCTATAATTAAAATTAAATATTCGTTGATTAATTAAAAGCTAAACATTTTATTCAGACTAAAATATAAATTTGAATGAATCCATTATACGTTCAACAAATTATTTTTTCATTGTTCAAATAAAAGTTGAACCTTCTGTGATTGAGGTAAGAGATGTAAGATTTATGATTAACACTTTTGATCGCATGAACTAGTTTTGTCGCTTTCTCGACACACGCAATAAATCCCACAATTGAATTCAGCAGTTTGTTGCAAAATTCTTCACTCATCACATCTAAACATGTATATTCATTAACTCACTCCCAAGTAATATATCGTTTTGAAAATATCTTCTTAAGGAATTCAAAACTCCTTCCTAATTCAAAATATTAGCTCAGGAATTTAGCTCCGGAAAATTTTGTATATAACTTATAAAGTATATTCTTCCTACTTCAAGCATGCCTTCGTGGTGTAACGGTAGCGCATTTACCGCATATTTGAGAGGTCCAGGTTCGATTCTCGGCGAGAGTACTGCAAAATTTTCACGTCCTCAGCTTTAAAAATTCCTAATGACTCTAGAGGGGCGTTCGAACTAAAAGGTGGTGGACAATAATTCGTAACTACCAGGATTTGGCGATTGGGTCCCCTGACCCCAGTTGCCCTTTAAAAGGGAAATTTTCACCATCTTTTCAGCATACCTCCATGGTGTAACGGTTGCACAGCGAGTATTCGAGAGGTCCAGGTTGAGTCCCGGCGAGGATATTGCTCATTTTTCATGTCTCCTAACCTAAAGTCTCTACAAACTGATCAATTAAATATTATTGTTCTGCTCTTTCATTAGGCTATTTCAAATCATTTCATTTCCAAAGTAAGAAAAAAAAAAAAAAAAAAAAAAAAAAAAAAAAAAAGCTAACACTGTAGTATTAAGGGGTATCAGCAACCCCTATACCGACAATGTTAAATCGGCCATTTTCGATGCACCTTTTCTCAAAATGTACTGTAGATACACGCTTGATTTTTTTGTAATTAAAGTATACCTATCTGATTATATTGAAATGAGCTTTTGAAACATTTTGAATTTTATAGTAATTTACAGAATATTTTGTTAGGCATAGTAAAATTTAGCACTTTTCTCACACACAAAATTAAATTTTTTTTCTTACTTTATCAGAAAAAGCTCATTTCAGTAAATATTAGGAAACCTAATAAATAAGCCGTAACAATTTTAGATACCTGTGAGCAGTAGTTCCTAAGAAAAGGTACATCGAGTATAAAAAAATCACGTTTGGAGAAAAACGCGTTTTTATGTAAAAATCCCCAATGATCAAAGCAGTTGATGACAAAATAAAACTAGTCTTGTACAGTTCTAATTTTCATAGAGATTAAAGAATGGTATTTTTAGAAAGATAAAAGTGTAGAGAATTTGAAAATGCAAAAATCCGAAATCTCAATTTTTTTGAAATTTTTGGATTCCAACACCCCTTAAATAAGTTCTAGCTCGTTTGATATAGAATGGAATATAATTTAGTTGATTAAATGTTAATCTTATTATTTACGCGAATCCTTATAAAAATGATAATTATTCTGCTTTGTGGATAAACACTGAAGTGTAATTTGAATACAATTTAAGTTAGTGTTCCACATTATCTACAAGCACACACTTAAACTACTAATTCCAAAGCTACTGTCGGTAATCTAAATTAATTAAATATCCCATCAGCGTAACAGTCACAGAGTATTGTCTACTGGCAAATAATTACTCAAAGGGACTGAATTTGTGAATAATTTACAGCGTGGTTAATTGCCTTCAAATTGCAGAAATTTAGTTTTCATTTATTACTTCAATAAGGATTTACTGTAGTCATTTTCGGCAAATATTTCCTGAACGGGGTTGAATTTGTAAATAATTTACTGCAGGGCTAACTCTCTTCAAATTTCAGGAGTTTAGGTTTCATTTATTATTTTTATAACGATTTACTATAGACGTTTTCAGCTGATTATTGGAAGATTAATATTCAGAGTTTTCAATGAAAGATCAAGCTAGTATTTGTTAATTTTTCTGCCTGTTCACTTTCTATACAGAACTTCGTACGTGTAAAGAGAAAAACGTAGGAAAATGATAAGCTTCGCCTTAGTAAAGCAGAGAAACTAAACACGAAATGTTAAAACTTATACATTTTTAAAATTTCTGACAGAAACTGTAGATGTTGTGTTAAAAATATTTCTTACGGCAAAAGGCAGAACGAGAAATGAATGTCAATAAAAGAAAGTGCGTACTTATGCTATAAAAATCTCACTGCGTTAATTATCAATTAAAAAAATAACACTTCCATTCTCAGTTCAAAACATACTTTAAAGATTAAGACTATTTTGCAAGTAAATTATTCATGTAGTTTGACATAGTGAAATAATATATGATTTCAGTAACAAATTAAGGTACATGATCCATTGTATACTTTGACATAAGTGAGGTGAAAGATTCATAACCTTTGTAATTCACGTTCAACATGAAAACGTACTCATTACTGTATTCTAAGTGTGGTGTTTCGTAGGTCGATCTGTGGAATGAGCCTAGAGTTGTCGGCGTAGATGTCATGATTCATCTGAAGCCAGAAATGATTAATGAAATCGAAGAAGCTCTGAGAAAATACGGAATGGAATTTGAAGTCGCCTTTTATGACTTACAAAGGTAAGAAAAATCATGCTGTTATTCTAAGGACAAAGTGATTGTGTTTCTTCAAGTTCGTTTTTAATAATGTAATTAAATTTATTTAGCAGTATTTTCTCACTTATGAGAATATTTAAGACATGAAGAGTGTTATTTTTTATGCAAAGTAAATATAGTTAATTTTAGTACAATAGAAGTTTATATAAAATACATAACAGCTTTTGATACAAGTCTTTTAAAGAAAAATAAACTTTTAAAACTAAGAAAAGTGTTTTCCAATGCCAAAATAATGCCAAACGAATAAATATTATAAAATTTCCCAATTACCAACACTGACTGAGAGCATCGACGTTTCAGAAAGAAAACCATCAACTAATTGAAAGCATTGACCTTTCAGAAAGAAACGCATCGACTAATTGAAAGAATCGCCTTTTCAGCAGAAAGCACTTTGACAGTGATGAGCGTATTCTCACGAATATCCCCATTCACGCAACCAATACTTGTTGGGATGACGGATGTTCTCAGAGCGCTGGCGTCTTATAAACAGTCACACGTCTTAATAAAACAGTCACACGCCACTTAAACACATGTGTCCTACACAGACACTCTTTTTTTTTTACACTGTGCTTGGAATCTGTTAAATTTCTGTCTGGTATTCCTCTATCACTCTATTGACTACCAGACTTGACTAAGTAAGTTCTAATTTGCCCGAGAGGTAAGGTGGGCGTAGAGAATGTCTTCATCTAAAGACACGCAGCACTGTGCATGGGTAATGATTTATAATAGGAACAGACCCTGTCATATTTAAATCCACTTTTGTTAGCCAATCTAAGTAAATGCGTAAGAGGAATGTAATTGGAAACCAAAATAGTAAACCTGTTTTTTAACAAATTGACAGCGTCAAGAAATGGTGTTATTCTTAATATCGAATTTTTTGCCAATTATGTAAACAAAATTGGGTTATATCACAGAAGGTAACTTAATAATGGATGGAATGTTATTATCATGTACCTGACAATTATAGAACAGAGAGGAATACAGCAGCTAAAAAACAACACTGAAGATGAACAGACGAGAATGTCTTTAAACTGCGAATTACTCTTTTTTAAAAAGTTTTATAATTTCCGATAGTAGGACTTTCAAACAAAATCGATATTGACAAATTTTTACAATTACAACTTTTTTTCCTCAGAATCATAAAATATTCTCCATTAAGTCAAATAACTTTTCAGTATTCCTACAGAGGGCACTCAATGATAGAAAATTAATTTATTTATAATTCCTACAAAAACTCAAATTAATGGTCACTAAGACTTCATTCCTAAGATATTTTGTATTTGCTAATACATTTTTAGTACCTAAATACTATGTAAAAGCAATAACACTACACATAAAATCTCTTTACAGTTATTTTAAATTACCTAATTGGCCATCGCTAATGCATATTATTTCCTTGTGATTTCTACAAGGTAAGTTGCGTAGTATAATTTTGTTTCTTTATCAATAAGGGTACCAAAATTTCACTTTTAATAAAAAATCTGATGTAGATATCATATGACTGCGGCAGCCAAAAATACACAAACACTCAAAACAGATTCATTAAAAACTGTAAAATATAGCATGGATAGCCTGAATTGTTAAAGACAGCAAATCGTTTTTCAGATCTTACGCCAAGGAGGAAACGTTTGTTGCTTTAGTGATTTTATATATAATCCTCTTCGTGAGTATCTCGAACGATATATTTAATTGTCAAAAGAAGTGGTTTGAGTTCTGATCTTTTAATAGACTCTCAGTGCTCTCCGTATAATTATTTATCTTTCTAAATTTAATCTTTCTTTTTCAGTGTCATTATGTCCGAAAGGATCCTGAATGCCCCATCGAATTACAGCAGGTCACAGGCTTTTGACTTCGGCAAATACAATCCATATGATGATGTATGTGATCAACTAAATTATTTCATTATCCAACAGAATAGAATAGAAATACTTTAATATTAATTTAATTTTTTTATTTTTTTATAATTTAGTAAACATAATTTCTGCTTACTAAACATTAAGCAACACTTAAAAAATATTTTAATTATTTTTGACAAGTTGATTAAATGAAAACATCTTTTATCCATATTTATGAAAATTTGATAGTCAAAAACAACTTTTTAAGCATGCAGTAACATAATCTAGTAATTACAAAATATGTTTTGTTAAATACACACATGAATGTAGATGACAACGTAAAGGTGCAGTTATATGGTTTCGGTTTTTGTTTCGTGTTGGGGGCACTTACTAGGTCATCTCATAAATAACGTCTTTTTAATAATTCTCCTATTTTTCAAAATTAAGATAAAATTCTTTTTTAATCTAAAATATATTCTCCTTCATCCTCTGCTAGTTCTTAATAATTACTACAGGATGTCTCAAACGGGATAACAGGACGTTCTCATTTACTTTCCAGAGGTCTTTCAGAAAGAGGCTTGTCTTCTAGACTGTACATTCCAGCTCGGTATTTTTGAAACCATCATTGTAAAAGACTGTCGATCAATGCCCCAATTCCCATATACCGTATTAATGTTTTTATTAATTAATTATTTCATTGAACTCATATAGTAAAATATACCGAACATGCTTCTATGTCACTTCCATTTAGTTTTGAAAATAAACTGTTAATATCGAAATGCACTCTTCAAGTTTACGCTAAGAATAAGATAAAATTACTACCCGTTTTTGTAGAAGATTGATGTAGATAATTTATCCCTTCTATTTCCTACTTTTAGTTCAGTTGAAAAAACAGCGTTGTTATCGGATGACCTAATGCAATTAATGCGATTATTTTTATTAATTTTTTCTCGGCTATTGCACTATGTTCATCAATCACAACATTAGCTTAAACATGTATTTCTTCTTATACTCGAATATGTTAAACTTTTATTTTCGTAGATGAAGATGTTAACATAATGCATAGGTATAAGTTTCATATAATGTTTGTTGCCATAGTCAGATACCATACATGTAGTTTACAATTTGTAATTTGGTTGAAGTCTACCACCGCAAGAAAATGAAAATTTAAATTTCACCTACATATTTTCAGTTTTTGTGATTCATATTATTTCGCCTCAATATGTAATGGGTATTAATTTTCTCTGCTTATATTTGTAGTTAACATTAATTGTATTTAGTAATAATGTAAATAGTAATGCACATATCAGTTCCAAGTAAACATTATTCAATGTGTTAATAATTGAGCATTAATTATATGCACATATGTTAAATGCGTAATCAAAAAGGGATATATAATCTGTATAACAGCAGTATCTCTTTGTTTGAAAGATACCATTGTTTGGTTTCTTGAATATGTTACTTCAATTCAATAATAATTGTCATGAATCTGAAATAACATTAGAAAATGTGTACATAAAATGAGATGTGGATGTGACTGATCGAAGAACTGAACATAGTAATTCAGGGTGCTGGCCTATTTCGTCACCGGGGTTACTTTTCCGTGAATGGGATGCCATTTAACACTGGAATGAAATCTAATTATATTAAGGAAAACTTAACAATACATAAATTCCATGAAAAGAAATAATGACTATTTTATTAGAATCGGAATAAATACAAAAAATATAGTCAAGTACAAAAATGTAAAATATATTTCACCAGGCAAATTTCAGATTTCAAAGAACGCCATTTTTCGCATTATATCCCATTAAACATTACAGGATCAATAAAGTTGAATACTTTAAGTTATTTGAATACGGTAAAGTACACAAGGATATCTGCTTAACAATAAAATTGTATCTGCTTTTAATTTCCAGGTGTTTGTATTCGAAGATTCCAATTTCATTTGCGTAAATCAGTAGCTCATCAGCAACTAAATTTGTTTTGTTAATCTATTTCTTTTTGGACTTTGTCTAACATTACAAATATGTAGGATTTTTACTTGCCAGAACTCAGACTGCTGTTTCTTCTGTGAATCTTGATGTAAGTTTGACTGTCGAAATAAAATTCTGCGCATAAGTAAAAGATTATACTCGAATTCGTTTGATTTGGATAAAATAGTCTTGTGAAGGATATACTACTACTGTTCATGAAGAAATTCATAAAAAGCATCGGTAGCCAGCTCGTTCTTCGAGTTTTGAGCCAAGAACTACCAGAACTAGTAATCCTATGATAATTATTAAGAGCTGGAAATACACATAATGAGTTACTTTTTTTTTAATTAATATTTTGTTTTAAAATTTACGAGCATTTAGTTTCATGCTGCAGTACTTTAAAAAAACGAAACATCCAGTATAAATTTGGTGGCATTTTTATAGCCCAATTTAAAAATCTATCATTTAACAGTTTATTATGAAAAAGCATAGTTTTTTCTTGCTTGAAATTTTATACCAGTGTGTTACAAGATAATTATTATGACACAGAAAATCTTTTACTTAAATTGTTACACAAAGATTTTTCAGTGTACTATTAAACATTTTCAGAACTGAATCTTTGCGATTTTCATTTGCATGTTTGCTGCTAGGTAATTATTGTGCCTTATATGAGATTTACCTTGCTTTATAATTTTACATGCAAGCCAGCTCATTCATCGAGGAAGGTAAATTATAAAATGAATTTATAATTATAACACGCAAAAGAATGCGATTTGTATTCTTCTAATCATGACTTCAGCATGAATATCTAATTGGAAAATATAGAAATGAAAATAATTGCTAATCTAAATATAAGATGGTTTTAGTGTGCCTAAAAATTCCAAGTTTATCTGTTTCCGATATATAAGGCATTTATTCATGAATTCTTCGTTGTAAAAAGAGTTCATATTTGCAAACAGAAGCAAAAATGGGAGAGGTAAATTGCAAAAATGGCGGTGGCAAACTGAAGATTAATATTTTATATCAAATATTGACATCAAGCAATATTAAAAGTTACATTACCTACTTTCCACTTTTCAGCAAGAATGATTTCATTAGTTTTACTTCATTGGATATACTATACGAAAACTAACTGCGTGAGCGCGCGCACACACACACAAATACACATATATATCAAATATATACGTGTTCACATAATATATACGTATAAATAATGACACTCAAGGAAAATTCGTAGAAGGAAAACATACATATAATAACTATGAAATGAATGAATTAATTAAAGCAGGAAGCATTTCGGCAGTTTTTTGTAATATTGTTTTCGTCATCAGAGAACAACATTACGAACATCATTGTTTATTGTTACTATGTGCATAGTGTATTTTTATCGCTCGGTGTTATTAACTAGTAATTAAATTATGAAAAAATACACACTTCGAATTCTTTTAAGTATGTTCATTGTTAAAGTTCTAATTTAAAGTTTTTGGCATCTTTCAGGTGATTCACTTGTTAGCAGAACTAAGCACAAGTTACCCTAAAGTTGCAAAGCTTCAAACTATCGGGCATTCATATGAAAATCGACCCATTTACAATCTCAAGGTATTATTATTTTAATATTTTACAATAAATTTGAACTATTAGATAAAAGCTGCACTCAATTTCTCTATACAAATATTCTTCTTAATAATCGTTATTTATCACTGAACATTCAGAGGTTACAGTGTATAACTAGTATTGTAGCTAAGGAATTATCATTAAATTTCTTGAAAAGGATTTTAAAATTATATATATTCATTGAAGGTAAATTCAAAATTTATTCCAAAATGTTAATATTTATGCAGTGCAATAAATATTTTGTGATAATTTCTGTAATGCGGTTGGTATAAATATTTTTAAACTTAACAGCAGTTGTAACAAAACATATATGGAATGAGTATAAATAAAATGCCTTAAAATTAGGTGTCATTATTGAAGATTTTTAAAAACAGTGTATATAGAAATATTTATTTAAATATTTTCTTATTTGCATGCTCCTTCATTCTGGTCATTAAAAAACATTTTCCCACAAGAACGGTAAATGGCGCCAATAAATCTTGTTAAAAAAGAATTATTTCTAGAGTTTTCTTTCCATAAAATGTGAAACTGAAATGTTTTATAGAAATATTATTTCCGAGACACTACGAAACATCCGTATTTATATTAGAGTCGAAATGTGTCAAGCTTTCAATACTGAGAACTCTTCAATGTTTAATATTCAATGAAGTTCAATGAGAACTCTTTTAGAAAGCTGGATAGTTTTATTTTAAATCTTCCAAAATTAGAAGGGTTTTGAAGTAAAGGCTTAATAAGATATTAAAGAAACTTAAACAAAGAATAACTATCAAAATAACTTTAAATTTTATTGATAATCGTAACTCATTTTGTATTCTTAAAACCTGACAAAATATTAACTTCGTTTTTCTCAACGTGGTTTTTTTTCTTTTTTAAATAATATAGACTTTTAAAACGTCAAGTACGAGGCTTTTTTCTCTAACTATCTTAATTCTTGTTTGGTTATAATTAACCAATAATTACTTATAATTGCTTGGTTATAATTAAGACAGGATGCTTGGAGGCTATCTATCTAAGGGAGGGGATGCTTTCTTGAAGAAAATGAGTCTTATTTTTTTGTGTGTTACATATTGGAATTCATGGGTAACACTAATATGAAGCAGTTATAGAAAACATGAATTATTTTTCTTTTATACATGACGTATAAAATAAGCCTTTGCTCTTTTACAGATAGTAAAAATAATGTAATTTTTGTGCAGGTAGTTAGTTATTTGAAAAAAGAAAAACAGGTTGAAATTTCTAATGTTTAACTGTCATATCCACTAATCCCCTAACATACAAAAAATGCAAGAAGACGGACATTTATGTGAACCAAAAGAAACTTTCTTACATTTGTAATCGTATTTCATTATAGTATTCGATTTTGCCATTAATTTTTTTATGTTTCAGATCAGTTCCGGTGATTCATCTGCCAAGCCTGCCATTATGATGGAATGCGGAATCCACGCCAGGGAATGGTCATCTGTGGCTGCCTGCGCTTATCTGGTCAATCGGGTAAATTAAGAAACTAATAAATTTTGAAATAATACAGTTCTAATATTATTCTTTTTAAGGAAACGTATTTAATTTCCTAAATGAAGAATCCGAATGTAGGAACTTAACATAGCTCAGACCTATTCACACTCGATGCTTTCAATAAGGTATATGAAAAATATTTCTAAGTTCGCAGAAAATAAACTTCAGCAAACAAGAGCAAAGTGAATATGTATTGTTTATATCAAAATTTGTTGGAGAAATTTTGCATGATATACGAGAGGATGATATTCTATGATACGAGAAATTTTGCACTAAAATCTCAAAAATCCTTCAATGAATTAAAATTAAAATTTGCGAACCAGTTTTCACCGGTTTCGTACCATTTCGCAATGATATCCTTTTGCAGAGCGTTAACCAATGATGAATATTTCAGAAAGTTTAATTCTATTTACTGCAGATATTTCAAATAAAATTTTTTAAACACGTCCGAAAACTCTTTCTCTATATTTTGATAAATGCCGATCGACACATTTAGCTTTAATTTGCGGCAAGTTTGTTAGGCTTCCATATCTAATAATGTTATGTTTCGATAATTCTTTATAAACTGCAAACGGTTTCAAACAAGCAACTAAATTCACGATCAAAAATCTTAACAAAAGTTACATGCACAAATACGAAACAAAGACACAATAATTTTCAAGATGCAAAAGAAACATACATACCGCAAAATCACAACATACAAACCTAATATATATAGTTGCTCAATGAATGATATATGAAATATTGCCGTATTAATTTATAACAATAAAAATCCATATGAATTTCATTCAGAAGGGTTTCACATGCAGTTACTAGCGGTATTCTATGAAACTTTCTTAAAAAACGTATTATGTTTGTTTTAGATAAATCCAATGTCAAAATCATTATTCGATTTGTAAGCGTTACAGTCTAATCGGCAGCATCTCATGTGAGTGTTTTCACTGAAATTTATAATTTTATGTTTTAGTATATTAAAACTCAAAGATATAATTTTAATTAAATTTATAATCAACATAATATATTTAAAATATTCAGAACAGATGTGTTGTAAACAAGTATATTAATTTGGTAAAAGAAACATCTTTTCATTCGCTTTCAAATCAAATTTTTAACAAACTATCAGTAATAATTAGCAATAATGAATTTTTTTTATTATAAACCAAAAGTGAAACAATCCTCGATGTGTTTCGTTAGATTATTAATAATAAAGAAAGTACATTAGCACAAAATATGCTGAATCAAATAAATTTGGTTCAGCAGTTGTTTTAATGCAGAGTAATCTGCTCTTAAAGATAGCATGCTTTCCTAAATTTTTCAGATTATTTTATGCATTTAATAAATAGCATGAAATGTTGTCGAAGCGTAGTAGAGTTTGCTTTTGGTTGTGCAAGAGCAGAGTTTACTTTCCTCCCTCTCCTATTTTCTTACAATTGCTTTTAATTTTTTCACTGTTGTAAACAGCAATCTTATTTAAAACGATTTGGATCTCAACAAGCAGAACAACGTCTTAATTTGATCTGGACTGCATCTGGAGCAAACGTGTCACTGCAAGTTCAGCCATATTTTTCAATTCAAAGTTTCAATTTCGTGCTAGTAGTGTCTAGTAGTTTTTAATGCTCCTTGCATTGAAATTCCTATAAGACTTTCTAACAACAAAGCAAAAACTCTGCTACAAATTAATTTTATGAGCCATTAATTCAAAATGTTTGATTTAAAATAAAATACATTAAACAAATTATCATATAAATAAACTTTCCAGTGAATATGTAGTTTGAGATGTCGATGGGAGCAATGATAATTAATTACCTTTTCTTTTTTAATACGGACTTGAACAAAAAATGTACAATCTCTGACATATGTGATAAATATATACTGACACTGCGTAGGAGATTCAACGATTGATTGAGTCTTAAATTGAGTATGAAAGCGAGGTAAACTTGGACAAGCTCCTCAGGAACTGATTCCAAGAACCGATTTATTCTAATGAGATAATTTATTCCGATTCTAAAAAGGGAGTCATAGCTCCTTTTACAGTTCAAGTACAGCTCTTGCTGGAAGCGTGACAGGAACGGAAGTCTCCTATTCGTTCATGAACTGATTCACTTTTCTGAGTGAGCGAATACCTGATTCACACACACAAACACACACACACACACACACACAAAAAAAAAAAAAAAGAGTGGAGGTGTTTTAGAGTTCACCGTTGTTGTTGTAGGCGTTCCTGAAAAGTTCGATTCAGGTTTTAGAGGCGAAAAACATGTTTATCCTCTCCCGTTAAAAGTGAGTTGAATTTTATCCTTTTATCCCAGAACATTATTTCTAGTTCTATGCTGAAAGAAGACTTCAGGGAAACTCAAAACTACAGATGTAAGAAATCAATTCAGGGAGTTTCCTTTTGATTGAGACAATTCTATTACACCCCCCGCTCGTTCGATTTCTTTTCGCTCTTTGCTCCATCCTTACTAACCGCTCTTGATTCACCCTTTCTTACCGATCTTTTTCATAAAGTTATTGTTTGTAAGCAGTAAGTCATAGAAAAGAACTGATTCAGTTTAGGAAGTGAACAATTGACCCTATAAAAGAGCGATTATGCCCATCTCTACTGCCTAAAAGCTAAAGGACTCGCTCAGTCCACTACCCTGCACATTCTCAAGACTCATTGAACCAACATAAATCTGAAAGATATAGTATTATTTCACGTAAATAATTATATTTTATTATTACACAATAAATAATGTTACTTATATTAATATGCTCTAAGCTATTAAATGTAATATCTATGTAATATTAGATGTTTGAATTTGTTAAATATGCATTTGCTTTGTTTAAACTTTATAATTAATAATGCAGAATTCTTTAAATGCATATTGTATTCATTTTCTGCAATTTTATTTAAAATACCCATCTAACATTACCGAATTATCCTTTGTAGTTAGTAACCAAATATGGCTCTGAATCTGTGGTCACGAATTTGCTGGACAAATATGAATTCAATATCGTTGTTGAATCCAACCCTGATGGTTATGTATACACCTGGCAAGCGGTAAAGTATAATTTTTACTTTAATTTTGTAATAATAAAAATGACTTTGTGTTGTGTAAGACAAGCTTAATTACTGTTTAGAAGCAAAGGAATAACAGATTACAAAATGCCATTTTGCGTGACAAGAAGTTTAATCTTGGGTATGTAGAGGGTGATATATTATTATAGTGACCTTACTCAGATTTATGTAGAGCCCATTCTATTGACGTACATCTCTGAAACTTGGTATATATGATATATGGACCACGAGGAAAATAAAAATTGCAATTAAATGTAATAGTTCAAATTTCAGCTACCAGGTAAAAATGTGGTGCATAGAGAACAAGAAGCATAAATTGGAAGCATGAAAATTTATTTAATCATAACATTTGTTCCATCTGCATTCCATTTGCAACAAAGAACGTTATACTATAATCAACAGTTATACGAAGGACCTTTCTCGTTGAGATATAGTACATGACATGTTGTGCTGGCTTTCAATTTACGCAGTCTTTATGCTTCATCTGTGGATATGTTCGTTCAAGCATCTTCATGATCGAAATTGTCAGAGATTTAAGCCCGAAGAATGAGGAGGTCAAACATTTGAAAAATTTCTCGAAATTACGTGATCATCTCTCAAGGGACCTCAACTTCATTTGCAGGCGAATACTGGGTGTTATACTATCTTGCATGAAGAATTCTAAATATTCTCATGCATTCAAAGAACGAATGATTGATTTGCTCCCGCAGAAATTCGTAATAATAAACCAGGTCACTTTCTAGGATCTTCAGGAAAGTCTATCCTAGTAACAAAAAAGAAAGTTCAGTAGCTTTAATTTTCATGAATTCATTTGCACAAACGATTTATATTACTAATATTTACCAAAAAGGCAATTTTTAAAACGATGCTTTGAACTCAGAATAAGTGTATAAGAAATCTTAAAATTTTTACAAAACGTAATTTTATTTCAAGTAACTTAAAGATTTATAGAACTCTAGTTAAATTTACACCAGTCTTAAAAGAGAACCAAAGCATAATCACCAATTTTATAATAATGTTTTTGTTTATAGCACATGTGAAATGCTGACTATACTTTCTGAATGCAGGTGATTGTTTTTAAGATTCAATTAATTTAGTGCAGGCTTACAAGAATTTTGTAAAACTCTTCTTGAAAAAATGCAGCGACACCACTTGTCAATTTCGTTTTTTCATCTAGGATCGTCTATGGAGAAAAACCAGATCTCACAGCAGCCTCGATTTCTTAGGCGTATGCAGGGGAGCTGATGCTAACAGGAACTTCGATATCGAGCATTGTGGTGAGATTCCGTTTTTATTACTTAGGTTAAATAAATAAAGCTGTTCTAAAATCATGGAAAATAACTTAAATAAAATAACTTAACTTTAAACCTATAACACTTAATGTATTAAACGTCAATGGCAAGTATAGATAGGTATGCACACACTGACCCATGAATTCGAAACCCAAGATCAATATTTTATTGGACCACCTCTTGCACGGTTAACTGCTCTGATTCGTTTGGACATCGAGTCTACATGCTTCTGGAATGCATTTAGGTCCAGCATTTTCTATGGGGTTAAAATAAAAGCTATGCTGTGGCCAGAGAAGGTGTTAGAAGTCAAACTGATGCTCAGAGAACCAATTTTGAACACTTCTTGCACGATGTATAGTTGCATTATCGTCCATGAAGTATACGTCGCCATCAGGGTAAAAATGCATCATTGCAGGGTGCACTTGATGTGTCAATATATCTAGGTATCTCATGGGCGTTTGTTTACCCTTGAAGAACACCAGAGCACCCATGCCAGCAGAACATGCCCCATATCATGATACTCCCATCAGACCCTTGCATGCAGACCCTTAATATGTGAGTAAAGCAATATACGTAGCTTCATGGCTTCATCGAGTTATCACCCAATTCGACCTCTTCCATCAATGTAAAATAAGATATAGCATGATTGATCCGACCACATTACCCGTTTTCAATTCTCACATGTTCAGTGTCTTCTTTCCCGACACCACTGCAACAGAATTCTTGATGCATTCCTCTCCTATGCAATTCTTTGAGCATGGTTCGAGCTGAAATCTGTTGGGAAGAGCCTTGAATGGCGATCTGTGTCAGTTGAAGCACAGTAGATTTCCTGTTCTGCCGTACAATTCGCCGAAGACGACTTGGAATTACTCTCTTGGAAAACTGCGCTCGAACTGCAGTTACGTCTTCTAGAGAAGGACTGTGGGTTTTGATTCCAACATTTGAAAACCTTTGATTTGGCTACTTTTGAAAACCCAGTGAGATTTACTGTCTTCGAAATCAAGGCCGCTGTTAAATGGGCACTAACAATGTGCCTCTTTTTAAATGGTGAAAGATCTGACATTTTTCCCATTTTACTTTATTCATCGCGAAAAGCACTCTCACACCTTACTTATACCAGCATTCTAATTACGTGTAACCAACGTCATAAAAAATCTACATACTTCGTCCCTAGCACGCATTCAAATGAAATTCTCAAAGGTTTCTAATTCATTGGCCAGTGTGCTATTTCCTAACATTGATTCTTGTACTTTGTAAATATAAATATAACTCTTGCTATTCAATCAGCGGCAGCTGCGGATTTTTAACGTAACTTAACTAAATTAACGTAACTTAACTAATTAACTTAGATTAAATATGGAATTAGTTGCCAGTTTTTGTTAGAAACAAAGATTTGTAATTTTAACAGTTTAACTGAAAGAAATAAAAATAATTCAATTATTCGCAAGTCGCTAAGAAGACGGATGGATTTTAAGTTTTAGACAGATTTATAATTTTATATATTAAAGGATATCCAGCATGTAATTATCCAAGAATCAAATATGTTGTGAAAACATGGAAAATATACTTAATATCAATAAATAAAAAATAAATTATAAACTGATAAAAGAAAATTAAAGTTTTCCCTAATTTTTAAAATGCATTAAATCATAAATTCTTCAAGCCACAACACTTACTTCTCAAAATTTTCTGAGAAAAGAGTAAAGAATCAGCATGCTTAAGAAATTCAAATTCCTCTTTCTTTGCACTAAATATTAAAAAATATCCATTTTAGATTACTTCATCTGAAATAAATGAATAAAATGGAGATGCTTGTCATTTAATCGAAAACAAACTGTAATTTTCTATTTTAATTTGAAATTTACTAACCTGAAATTTAGCTTTGAGACCACTTATAAAAGTACATCAATTTCCTATGATAATAAATTAATAACTTATTCTAGAGACTGACCATATTACGATAGATATTTTCGGATCAGTAATCATGAAAAATCAACCTTTTCTCTCCACGAGATTCAAACCAGAGATACTCCATTTGCATAACCACTTGCATCACAAAAACGAACTAGAAGGAATGCTATAATTCTTTACATTCTCTCATAATTAAGGCAGAGTAGGCAAGAGATTCAGTAAACAAATCCAGGGAATGAAGAGTTACCCTCCATCATACTTCAATTCGACAGCGAAAAGTTATAAGGCATAAAAGTCATTACGTTTGGTAACACCTGAGGAAAAGGACTGGCATCGTAGCTAGTTAAGGAACGTAAAGTCCTCCATGCGTGAATGTGCAGTTGACTCTATGATATCGTGAACCAGAAGCTAGCGCGCATTTGATTCGCTATGATTAATTGGTTCTTATGCATGATGGTGTGCATCTGAACATTTAGAACAGTTAGACAACATCTATATATCACTTTTTTTTCACATAAAAATTGGCTGGTTGCCTAGTAAAGAAAGTTTGGCTTATGCTAGCTGGGACCATAAAACCCTCGTCTGCATACTGTTTTAAGTTTTGAGATCAGTAAATGTTGATCAGTAAAGTCAACAGTGCCCTGACTGAAATTCGTAACACGGATCTACCAGTTGCCCACAGATCCCCCAGTTGCTAGCTAAGTGCTTAACATCATAGCAACCTGCACTGGGAATTAATTCCTTACAAGAAAAATCTATGCCATTATGAGTTTTTATCAAACTTCGTAAATGTCTTTTATGCAAAGTATTAAAGTTATGTATCGAATAAACTATTTAGCATACGGAATATCCCCAACAAGTGGCTGAATGTTTTCTTATTTATATATGAATTTCGATTATGTTGATCCGTTCACATAATTTAAATAAATAAAGAATAGCTTCTGCAAAACTATAATTATAGCCTCGGAGCGTAAATAATTTTGGTAGTAAAATATTTATTGTGCTTTAATTAACTAAAAATGTAAACTTCCATGCCCTTACAGGAAAAATGTACAATAGTTGGCTAACGAAAAATTTCAAGTACCAGCTATAAGCTTAATAAGCCTGCTGTTTTATCAAAGACAGAACTGTTATTTAAGAAGAGAATGATTTTTAATTTGCAACTGGTCTCTAATTTTTTTCTCAAATCTTGGATTTTCAAAAGATTTTCGTTATTTACTAAGTTTGGCCATAGATATCTCCCCTCATTTTACAGCTGTACATAGTATGAAATAGACTCATTAAAGGGCAAAAAATATGTTGTTAAATGTGATATGTTATAAGGACTCTGTATAAAATGCCAGAACTTTCTTTTATAGGACTCATTCAGCTGCAATACTAAAATTTTCTTTGTGCTTTAAAACTGAAAAGGATACTCTGCGATCGATATTGAAGAAAATCTACCTAGCTATATTTATAACTACATTTATATCTTATAACATACATCTATATGTATGTAGCTAATATTTATATTTTATATCATGTAGCTATATTATAGATCGTAAAGTTGCGCCCTTCCAACCTGCACGCAACAAAGTGGTGACTGCTGAGAACTGGAAATAGACCAAAGTCTTGAGAAGGGTTTACATCCCTTTTTTTATTCCACTTTAGAAATTACAAATGCGTGCTCTTGACGCTCACAAACTACGCCGACCCGGCGGTAAAATAAAAATAAGAAACTGAAAAGAGATAATAACAGGTGACTAACTACGAGGCTCTCTAAACGTGACTAACCTCACCGCGTTCTAAAATACCGCTGATAATTCAGCAAATTCTGAATATTACGTTGAAAGATTAACAATTGCCGAGGCAAGCACACAGGCCGAAATGCGTGGTTCTTCAATTTCTAACTAGCCACCTCAAGTATTTACGTATATTTACAAAATTCTAATACATATGATTTTTACAATTTACCATAAAATGAATAAGAGAAAAATAAATTTTTACTTCACGCCTTCTTCGCCAAGCTGGCGGCACTGAAACTAAATTTCTTATTAATACAAGAATACGAAGTTATTTTTATCTTCGGCCAAATTTTGGCTTTAACATAACAGAATTAGTCTTTCGACCAACAGAGACTGCTTGTTCTTAGATTTTATACTTAAAGAAAATAATAATAAAGTAAAACAAAACTTAGCTAAATAAAGTAAAACAAAACTAAGTCTCAACCGAGACACATTGACTTTCGTCAAAACATAGAACTTCGTATTTACGCATAACATTTCGGAACAAAAGAAAAAAAAAATTATAGAAGATTTTAACTTATCTTTGAGTTTTCGATGATTGGAACTCCGACATTCTTTTCTGGCAGAACTGCTCCCATGTTATAGGTTTCATGGACGTCAGTCTTCTCCTTAATGTCCTCCGAGTGTCGTCCACGTTAATTTTTCTTTTTCGCCCTCTGCATGCTGGCCTCTTGGAGTGGTAGTCGTCGTGTTGCTGTCTTTTCCGTTTTTGCCCTGGACGGCTGGTCTTAGCGTCCTCCGGTCTAGAGTCATGCTTGAATTTCTTCTGTTGGTGGTGGTCTTTTCGTTCCTCCTGCTGTCTTTTTATTTTCGGGAACGGCGGCCTTGCTGGCACCTGACTCTCTGGCCCTGGGCGCGTTCTCCTTGATGTATAATTTCTCCTGCGATCCGTTGTAGGTGGTGTTTTGCTCTTTATCACGGTTTCTTTACGCGGTGCATCTGTATTCTTGTTTTTCTTAAATGCTGGAGCTTGAAAGTTCTTTTTTCTTTTTGATACCGTCGTCCGGGTTGTAGAAGGGCTAGGTCTCTCTTCAGTTCTCTGCTTCTTGGGTGGTGGAACAGTTGTTGTTATCTCTGGACCTTCTACTTCGTTTAGACTTGAGTCCTGCAAGAAACTTTTAAGGATTTCAAAATCATTTGGATTATAGTATTTTTTCACCTGGTCGGGACTTGCTTTACAGACCTCCCCTCTCTCGTTCTTAAGATATAATACGACACCATTTGATTTCCTGAATTACATAGGGGCCTTCAAATTTTGGAGCTAACTTTGCCGTAAAATTGTCTGGGGCA